GATGTGGGTATGTGGTGATGAGAAATCTTTCAAGACATGCTGTGGTGTGAAGTAACATTGGGTGGGTAAAATGAGGCCATATGACAATGTTTTAAAAGCCAGACACAAAAGTTTAGGTTTGATATATGAATAAAATTGGAGAAACTTTAGATAATTGAGTTGAGAGGTACCTTAAGGAATTTACATTTTTCAAATGAGTTGGTCTGAGAGGAGCACATGGGACTAATTGGGAGGATGAAGGGCTACTAGATAGAGAAATACAATTTAGGTGTAGGGTCTGGTGGATCTTAACATAGAAGAATGGAGAAGAAAACCTAAAGGGAGAAATTATTCTTTAAATTGTGTGACAGACTCAATGTAATATATGGAGAGGAAAGGGCCAAAACAGTAGAAAAAGCATATGTAGAATTTTGAGTCAGATTATTGATGTTGTGCTTTACTATATTCATCCTGATGAGAGTAAATGGATATATGTATATATATACATTTATATACTTTATTTAGATCTTTCTACAATAATGCTGGATCCAGATTTTATTTTCTCATGGGGCAGTACTTATTTTAAACATAGTCAAAGTTAAATTTTCATAAGGCTATAGAAACTTACTATCTTGTCATTGATTTCAATGGAGGTTTCATAGCCTTTCTCTCCAGTCTTTAGATTGTAACTTGGAATTATTAGCCACTTCTATTAAGGAAAGGCACGATTCCAGTAAAATGTGATATAAAGTGTACATTATTGCTTAACCATAAGCAAATATCTAATTGGATCCTTGGTCCTTAAGAATTTTAGTCGGAAGACAAGGAGATATATGATAAACTTTGTTTCACAATTTTGTATGGAACCCAGTATAGAGAACACAAATTAAACTATGCATAATCAAATCAGCCACACATCACATGTATCTTTCACCATAGTAGAGTGAGATTAACAATATGATGAACAAATCCAAGTCTCTGAGTCGGAAGAGGTAGGAAATCTTCTGTAAGGGAAAGTTTCTCAGTGGTACAATTTTTGTAGGAAAGAAATATCATGTCAAACTCTTTGTCTTATTTTTTAAAAGTCTATGAAACATAATTATAAATAAAATTACTTTCATATAAATACCAATTAAAATTCAGTTAACTTTATTTGAAACTATAAAGATGCTTTCAGTTAGACTTTTTTTTTTTTTTTTGCTGAGGATCAAAAGCCTTTGAGCAAGCTAGTTGAGTACTCTACAATCAAACTACAACCAGCCAATTTTCCTTCTTTTAAAAATTTTACATGACATCACAACTATAGCACTGGTGCTCTGTCTCCTTTGCTATTTTAGTGTTCAAGACTTTGCCTCCTACATTAAATTCATTCCTGTTTTGTTCATTTTGATGCTGTTAAACAATGCACTTTTTTCTTTTAACTTCTTTAATAGACTTTTTCCTTTTATATTTAATTGTGCTATTGAAAAATCTTATATTAATCCTGATTCTTGTTCCTTTTTTTTTTTTTTGAGACAGGGTCTCCCTGTATAGTTGACGCTGATCAAGATTAAGATAGCACCACCATGCCTGGCTTGATTCTTGTGTCCTTTTATATAACACTTCCCTCTCCATTTAGACCTTAAGATTTGTCTCTGTTACTGTATATTCCTGAATTTCAGTGTAATATGTCTGAATGCCAATCATTCCTTTCTTCTTTCACATTCTAGAGTCACCGACTTTCAAATAAAAATAAAACAACAATAACATAAGATAAAATAAAAGAAAACACTCTAGTCATTTATTTAATGTTAATTCTTGGAAATTTAACTTCATTGTTTTAAAATAATATTCCCTTCCAATTATATTTTTTGTCTTTCTAAGAATAATCTGTATTTTAGTTCTATTATCAAACCTATTCTCCACATTGTTTAAGTTTCCTGTCATTTATCCTATTCTCTCTTTCTTTTTTTTTCTTTTTTTGGGGGCGGGGTACTGGGGATCAAATTCAGGACCCTGTGCATATCCTATTTTTTTAATTATCTTTTGCTCTCTTGGGAGACTATTTTAATCTCATCTTTTTCTAATTATTTTATTTCTTTATCTATATATTCTTATGCTATTGTGTTGTTCTACATTTTTTTCCCCATGTATTTTATTTTTCATATCTCATTTCTTCTCATCATTGCTGGTCACTTTGGTTATTGTTATATTTACTAATTAATTATCATTAAAATTATTACAAATTCCTTCCCTTTTTAGGCTAATTTAAGAAACTTTGAATTGGGTTTTTTTTTTTTATTTTTTTTTTTTTTTTTTTTTTTTTTTTTTTTTTTTTTTTTTTTTTTTTTTTTTTTTTTTTTTTTTTTTTTTTTTTTTTTTTTTTTTTTGCTTTCGTCATTATTTCTGATGTTCTGCAATGTTTTACTTTTGACACGGTCATTTACCTCAGATGTTTTGCCCCTCTAAGATCATTTTCTTCAGGAAGGATTGGCTACTGTGGATGGACGGATGAACGTGGAAAGGTTGGAAGCAACTCATTCAGTCCTTCTCACCTCACCTCACGGGTAGAAATGTGAATAAAATCTATATGCCATTGTCAACCATTCCTTATCTCAGAGCAGCTTCTCAGATTGGGAGCTCACTTTTCCTATCACAGAAAAGTATAGTTTGAGAGATGTATGTTTTATTTGTCGAAAATATTTTATGATAAATTCTTTACTTCGTACCTTTAAAATTCACTCATGGTGAATGGTAATGCGTTCATCTACTGTCATGTCAAAGGTTTTGTCCTATTGAGAAAGCAATCTGCTTTTTAATTACAATAAATCTTTCTTCAAAAACTACCTATACGGTTGCTTAACAATTTACATAATAAAGTTAAAACTTATACTTATTACTTAAGTAATTTACCCCTCTAACACAGGTAGATGTAAATTTTCATTATAAGCCCTTTCATATGTATTCAAAATTGTTAAATTTTTCAGTAACATTGTTTAATGTTAACATGTTCTAATAGAGAGAAGGCACTTTAGATTACATGAAATATATCACGTGGTCTGAAATTGAAACCCAATAGTTTAATGATACTCAAAATATGATTAGTCGTTTACACGAAATAGACTAGTATCTATGGCATAAAATTAAATAGGATGTTAATCATTGTGCTTGAGGGCATAAATTGGACAATAACCAAGGTCAGAAAAAGATGTGATATAGCTGTTGTTAAGCAGGATCAGATTCATTGTGAGAATAGCTGCCCCATCTATAAGGAATAATGCGTTTATAAGGAATTATGTCTGGCTGGGTAACGCGGACCCAAAGAAATGTTCTAGTTAGGAACCTCTCACTTTGTTGTTGCGGTATGTATATACTGTAGCTCTTTTTCTTTTACATTTCTGAAGTTTGCCACTTCTGCAGTGAAATCCATGTGAATTCGGCTCTTCAGAGGAGAAATGCCCTTTCTCTGGTTCCTTCCCTCTCACTCCCTGCCTTTTTGTTCAGCAGCTCCATTACTGTTTCTCAAAGACACACTGGAAATGTACAGTTCAGGTTGGTGATGCCTCAGCTCATAACCAACAGGCTTTTTAAAAAAATGATCTTGGAAAATTTGTACTTTAAAAAATACAGTTAAATGACTCCCATCCATATGCCTTCTGGATTTCCTCCTTTTTTTTTTTTATCTACTACTCATATGTATCATCTCATCAAATTATCACCTTAGTCCCCATTTTGCAAATGAAAAAATTGAAATGGAATCATTACTTGATTTATATAACTCCCTTCTAACATCCAAAAAATAAAAACATATTTTAAAATAATGACTTTATATGATGTAACTGTGAGGACTCCTAACAGAGTTAATGATAAGGAAACACTATGTGAAATATATAGCACTGAATCATATATGGAATAAAATGCATTTATTTATATGTACATATAATTATTTAGTAGCTGATTTCAACTGTATTTTCATTTTTTCCCCTTAGAAATATATACCATTTATTGCATATACTTTAGTGGTTTATTACCCCAAATACTGATTTTGGTCTTAATATGTTTTTTCTTCATATTTATTTCCAGTCAGATTTTATAAGTATCAAAAATTTTTCATTTTGAATTGGAGCTTTACAAAAAATGGGACTGTGGAGTTAGTTTCTCCATAATAATCTTGTTACAGTTATGCTTGGTTATATGTATTGTTCCTAGTCTTTGAGGAGAGAAAAATTATTCAGCTTTTGGGTAACTGCCCAGAAATGGAATAAAGATATGTAGAATGGAAATATTTTAAAATTTCAAATCCCACATTTAAAATGAAGCTTTTTGTAACATGGTAGATATTAACCTGAAATGTGAATATTGTGTATAGGATACCTTAGCTTTTCTGAAAGTTGTTTCTAAGAGGCACTTGAAGAATTGCAGTGTTGCTACAATTGGATATAAAGCACTTTTGGTTTCCAGCTGAAATGTTTATAATAATCTAGAATACTAAATGTGCAATGCAGAAAAAGTATGCTTTCCAGGAAGGAGTTTCTCAATAGTGCAAGATGCTTCCTGACTGTGAATTGCTGGTAGCACTGATAGCATAAAGAGGCTCCCAGATGTTTGACCATTATACCTAATTTGTGTTATGCAAGGAATTTCTCCAGCTTTGCTAAGTTGTGCATTGATTTATCTGAAAGAATATTTTAATTGTTTTCACTTATAAATATGTTATATGCCAGTTCAAGCTCCCATAATTTTGTAAACATTAATCAGAATTTTCTTTCATGAATGAACTGATTTCTCTTTCTGCTTAAATATAAATGCTTTTCTCAGAATAACTTATTCACAAGCATTCCACTTTAATATCACAAGCATTTTCATATAATTAAAAATAGTAAATTCATACTCATCTCTTGTTTAAAATTAAAATGTTATATATTATCATTATTATTACCAACAAAATGATAAACTTAAAAGGGAGAATTTAATGCATACAAGTAAAGATACTCATGTGCACGGAAAGTTTAATTGATCTTTTCTTCCTTTTTTCTCTGAAGTTGTCGGGAAGTATTTTGGATGCATATAGTGATGAACGGGGAATTTCACCAATTAATATGGGGCTTACAAATGCTTCCTGTCCAATTAGTCTACCAATGAAAACAGAAATTGCAGGTAATGTTGCTTTCATAGTTTTACCTTTTAAAATTTTTATCGGCTTACCTGAGATATGAGTGATAGGAATTATGCTAAGTAGAGTATTTTTAAAATTATTACCAAATGAAGGGAGAGTTTCCAAAAATAAATTCATTATGTTTTTATGACAACTAGATAGTGTGTTAGTATAACTTGCAGTTTGACTGAATTGATTTATTATTATTATTATTATTATTATTAGGTACCAGGGATTGAACTCGGGCCCTTGCGCTTGTGAGGCAGGAACTGGAACCACTGAGCCAAAGCCCTGCTTGATTCATTATTTTTAAAATTAATTTTGTTGGTAAATTTTAGGTATACAATATAAAGACATTCATCATTGGAAATTTGTACCTTTACATAATATATCTTGGTTTTTATTTTTTTATAAAAAACCCTTTATAAAAAAATCTCCCTTCAACCCCTCCCTGTTTACAAAGACTTTGTTTCCAGTTTTTCATTTTCTCATATTAATTCCATTCCTTTCTTTCATTTCCCAACCCCTCTGTCTTCCCCTTCCCCTCTGGACCTTTTTTTCCTATTTCATATTACCTATTAGGCTTTTTGATCCTTATTTACACTTTGATTCATTGTTTCAAGAATACATATGTAGTTTTCATAGAGATATATAAATACAGATTCACTTAGCAGAAGTTCATTTTTCTATTAAATTGATATTTATATGATTGCAGAATAATAATTAGGAAAATTATTCTTTGCAGAATTAGATATAAAGAAAATTTTAGAATTTCCCTTTTAAATTGTTTTATTGATTTCATGATGGACTTGGATTAAACCTTCTCAACTGAGAAAAAGAAACTCAATCTTCAATAATTCATTTCAAAATTATTACAAATCAAAGGTGCCTTAGACCACTCAATGGTCTGAGGAGTTATTTTGGCAAGGTCACACAGCTGCTCAGAGTAAAAAATGGATTAATGATTTCCTGACTTGCCATAATAATAAAATAAAATTCATTTCAAGTTTTGATACCAAGCTTTTAGATCATAGCTGAAAAACTGCATAGTTAAAAATAATAATTTAGGTAAATACAAGGCATGCTCTTGATGGAGCTTGATAACTAAAAATATGTTGAAAGTATAGTATTAGGATTAAAATTAGCAAATTTTAAATAAATTTAAATACCATGTATTTCTTTATACCATGTTTAGAACTACAAATTCTAAGAACACTGTAGCAATTACCTTTTGTATATAATCACAAATTAGCTCCAAAATTTATCAGCTTGAAAGAAACATCTCTGGTCTCTTCCAGTCTCTGTCAGGAACCCAGAGGGAGTGGAGCAAATTTGTTCTGACTCTGAGTTTCTTTCTTCTTCTTTTTTTTCTCATTGACTTTATTGGTACATTTTAGGTATACAGTACAGTTATATTCATCATTGGGATCTTGTACCTTTACATGACAGGTCTTGGTTCTCCTGTTTTCCCCTGTACCCCTACCCTCCTTTCACCCCTCCTGCCTTCCCCATTTACAAAACTTTTCTTCCATTTTTTTTGTTTTCTCATATTTTTTTATTTTCCCTTATTTCCTTTCCCCCACCCTTCCCACTTCCCCTATACCTTTAGCCCTTTTCTTCCTATTTCACATTGTCAATTATACCATTTGGATCTTATTTACACTTTTAGTATTTCACACCAGAGAAACTATTTGGTATTTACATGTGTGATTTATTTATTTCACTTGAGTATGACCTTGATATGCAACCATTTTCCTATGAATGACTCTAATTTCTCATTCTTTATGGCTGAGTAGTATTCCATTTTATAGAAAAAACTCATCTTCTTTATCAAGTCTCCAACTGATGGGCAATTGGGCTGTTTCCAAGTTTTATCTATTAAAAACTGTGCCACTATAAACATGGGTGAGCATATATCACTGTGGTATGAGTCTTTTAATTCTTTTGGAAGGATACCCAGCAGAGGGATAGCTGCGTCAAATGTAACCTCTATTCCTCTGAGTTTCTTATAGAGCATTGGTCCAGATGTGAGGCAGATGTACATAGTCTGACACTTCACAGGTGGCTGGAGGACACACTCCCAAGAAGGTTCCTTCTCAGCCCTTGAAATTAGTGCTGCTTGTGGATGAGCGATCTTGGTTCTTTACTGTGAGGACCTCTTTGTAGTGTTGTTTACGAAGCCTCAGGGCATGAAAACTGGTGAACCAAGAGGTACCAAAGTGGAAGCTGAAAATATTTTCTGTAATTTAACCTTGGAAGTCATAGTAGACATTGCCACATGAATCTGTTCATTTCATAGATCAGCCTCCTTCATTGCTGGGGAGAACTACCAAGGGTGTGAACACCAAGAAATGAAAGTTAAGGGCCGTCCTAATGTCAGATGAGCACAAATTCAATCATTTAGCATGAAGCCAGCATCAGTAAGTGGAAGAGAGTGTGGAATTATTTGATAGGAATATCTATGAAAGGTAGTTAGTTCCAACTTGTGGGATGTAGAAATCATAATTATTTATGAAGATTTTAGGTCAGAATAATTTCTTTCTGAATCTCAAAAGTCTGAAAATAATAATGACAGTGACTGAATAATTTAATACATTCTGTGTGTCACACCTCTTTTATAATCATCACAGTGAAAATCAGGTAGGTATTTTGTATTCATTTTACAAATGAAAAGTCTGAGACACAGAGAAATTTGGTAACTGATCACATCTATTACATGGACAGCCAGAAAACAAATCCAGCTTTTCTTACCCCAAAGTTTAAAGGCTTTGCTATTGCCTTTTAATAAAGAGGTATCTGTTACAAGTTTCTAAATATTTTTATCAAAAATATTATCGTACCACTTTGGAGCAAGCAATCTGGTATTTTCAGCTAGTATTTCTGAATCATTTTGCCTGGGGAAATTTTTAGATTAGAACTAAGCACTGTTTCAATTATTTTTCTTATGATCAGAAACTGACACCAGAGCATTGGCAAAAGAGAGACAAAAAAAGGACAATCACAACCTCAGTGAGTATATTTTTCTGTTTTTTTCCACACTGAACTAAAACACTAGTAAATGCATACAGATTGAATTTTATGAGCTTTTATTATAACTCTATAAGAAGGTAAAGATGACCAAAATTGTGTTTGCAAACAAGCCCTTTTGGGAAATGCAACCCATATGAACTGTCAAAAAAAAAAAAATCCAAGTTGTGTATTTTCCACAAAATGAAACGTCTTCCTTGATCATTCATTCTCTAGGAGGCTGTGTTAGACTGAGATGCGTGCATTTGGCTACATTTGAGCTGTGTTGTGATTCATTGATTCCAAGATTTAAAAAGATAAATTGACTTTGGACATCATTTTAGTAGTATGCCATTTTAATGGTCAGAAACACAAGTCCAGGCTCTCATTTCTCTGTGTCAATGTGCTCCTCCCTTGCTAACGATATCTTATCTGAAAGGCATTTCTCATGTTGTAATACTGAATTCCACCTCTGAGGAAAAAAGGCTTTTTTATGCTTTCCTCTGGGTCAGTTTGGCTCTGATAACAGGTCACTTGAGATGGGAAATGTGAAGAAACAGCAGCAGGGCTGGGCTTTAGAGTGCGTGGTCATGTCTTAAGTGGGTGACTATCTTGAGAGCTTGACTGATTGAGAGTGAAGGGTCTTTGTTCTGGGAGCCAAATCAAAAACTGAAGGAAGAGTAAAACAGAAGAAAAATAAATAAAATGCTAGAGCCCTGAATAATCAGTAATTTCCTTACATGCAATTAGCAGAAATTGATTCCGAATGCACCTGTGAATCCTACACCTTTGTGTAACGCACCTCACAGAGTGGTGAGTGTTAGTTGACTGAGTGTGAGGAAAGAGCTGACACACTGGTTTCTAACAGGCCTTGGGGAAATGATCTGACTTCCACCATCTGAATAGCAGAGCAGAAAATCTTGTTCCAGACTTTGAACAAGGTGAATATGACTGGGGAGAGCTAATGATTGGAAGAAGGAATTAGTACCTTAAGGTACTATGGAGTTCTTTCTTTGTAAATCTGTTAATTATTACTGTCTTTGACATTCTTTTTTCTGTTTTCAGCTTAGGCAGTTAAGTCATTTACTGTAGAATATTGTAGGTGTCTGATATGTGTGTTTTAATGAAGTGTTTTCTAATCTGGGTTCTCTTGTTAAATTATCTTCCTTTTGGGGAAAAATCAACATGAAAAGATATCATAAGTGTTAAGTATAATGAATTTAGAACAATCCTTGAAAACATAAATCTTGTGGGAGCATGCAAAACAGAGAAGATCCCACTTACCAGAAGGCTAAATATGTAAGAGGTATAACTCAAACTAAAAAGTGCTAAATTAAATATGGCCCATCCTTCCTAGAGGCTTTAGAAGGTCAGGAGTGAAATTAGAATCCTCGGGTTGCCAGACTGAGGGAGCAATGTCCGGGTAGGGCAGTGCCAGCCCTCAGCTTGCAGCCTACTCTACTCCTCTCCTCAGTCTCTATTCCATTTTGTGCTGCAAGTGGCCTCAAACATGAGTGTGAACAGCCCACCCTGTGCATTTATGATCCATACATATTCCTGGAAATAGCTGCCTTTGGGTCACATCCTGACCTGTGGGTGAGTAAACTGGGGCTGAGTGATTCTCCCTCCAGAGGGTAGACGTTGAGGTGAGGCTTACACGGACTCTGGAAGTGGGCCCATGATTAGATGAGAACTTCCTTGTGCACAGTTCCAGAGTGCAGTTGGGAAGAGATTTCCTCAGCCCTGTGGCTGCCTTGCTCATAGGGAAGAGGTCTGGCCAGAGAAGGGGAGAGTGAGTCCTTTAAGTGTGGGTGGGAATAGAGGCCTCTTTTGTCTGGAGGTAGGGATGGGATTGAGTGAATGTGCTAAAAACTTTGTAAAGAGTGAAATCACCAAGTGCAAAATAATTCAGTAATTTCTCAAAGCATAACTATTTTACAAATAACTACTGCTATAAATAGAAACCACATTGAGCAAACAGAAGTTAAAATCAGCCAGTTCAAAATAAATGACAGTCTGAGTGGACAACAAACTTCTAATGTTTTACATGAGGTAAATTTAAATGATAAGTTTTGAAGAAACACTAGAGGACTAAAATTACCCACTTTGAAACAAAACCGTGAACTTCGTAGCTGTTCTTTAAGGTTTCAGAGGTCTGGTTTGTAATATATGGTAATGAATGTAAACAGAATTATTAATAGATTGTCACTGTAAAACACATATGTATGTCTATCACATGTGCCTTTATTTCTTAGTATTTTTAATATGTTATCATTTAGCTTTTGTGAAATTAAATGCACAAGGAAACAAATTAGTGAAGAGACAAAATAAATTCTCTCAAAATCAATTGTATTCTAATTTCAGAGGGATCCCCATGTATTATTCTGGAAGGTCAAGTCCTTTCAGAGCAATTAGCTTTGGAGAATAGGCTCACCAAGACAATTTGTATTCTTTGCTAACTTTCCCAATTTTCAGTAGCAGACCTTAATTCTCAAGTGTATGCTGTGCAAGTATTTTACCATCTATTTAAAATATGTTTTTATTCCTTGTGACTTTTTTGTACCATCATCTCTTTGAATGTTTTAAATATACAACTATTGTAAAAATATCATATGTAAGTAGATTATGGTGCTTGATATTGCAAATATAAAGTAGATGATTGCTCTTGGAGTCAATATAGGGAAATCATCACACATATAATATTCATTGGATATTTACTACATACACAAAATTGCCATAGTAATGAATGCATGAGGAAAACCAGCCGCTACATAAAAGCCTTTATCAGTATTTCTCAAATCATGGCTTTTACGCCCACAAATCAGCATCACCTGTGAGTTTGTCAGAAATGCTTATTCTTGGACATAACTCCAGATATACTAAAATCAGAATCTCTAGGTGTGGTATACAGATTTATTTAATGATCCTTCCCTGTTGTTTCTGATACATGCCAAAGGTTAAAAACTGCTAATTTATAAATTATTGAAAACTCTAAATTAGAAAAACAAGCTGATAGTCTAATCTACCTTTACTGAGCACCTCCTGAGTAGACCAAATTCTCTATAGATACAAAAAGAGTAAGATATATCGACTTCCTTCAAGATGGGCACAAACACCTGTAGTGTACTAAACACTGAGGAGAGTAGATAAAAGAGTAAAATAAGATGTATGCTCTTAAAAGGCTACCATTCTAATGGATTGACAAACTGTTTATGTATAAAAATGAAAGAATATGTATATATAGACATGTATATTTGTTTATGTATCAGTGTGAGTAAACATATAAATCAAAAGAATTAAAAATGTTTTGAGGCAAATTTTTAAAAATATTGTAAAGCATATATTTATAACTCTAGTATTGCAATGTAACCCTAAGATTGTTATGGTTTGCATCTAAAATGTCCACCAGTAGACTAGTTTTCAGAGATGTGGCTTATTAGTTGTGAAGACTCTAACTTCACCATGGATAAATTCACAGTTTGATAGAATTATTGGGACGTGATGGAGACTTAGGAGATGGGGCTCAGCTGACCAGAATGAGTCAAGGCAGCATGACCTAAGGGACTATATTGCCTATGTCTTGTGCCAGGCCTATTTCTCTCTCTCTGGGTCGCTCTATCTATCATGTTCTCTCCTCCTACCCCTCCTCCTCCTACTCCTCTTCCTTCTCCCCTCCCCACTATGATGTCTCTACCCTGCCAAGGGCCAAAAAAGCAATAAAGCCCGCTAACTATGAACTGAAACCTCTAAAACCTTGAGCCAAAGAAAACCTTTCTTCCTTTAAGTTGATTTTCTCAGGTATTTTGTCAGCAACTCAAAGCTGACTAACACAAAGATACTTTTGAATTGTTATTCTATTATTGAGAAGTTATTTTTTAAGTAAATGGAAGTATTTCTGTTTTAAGACTATTAAGAAAGTTTATCCCTAAAATGTTCCAATAAACTCAATTAAAGCTTAAAAAAATGAAAGTTTATAGCTGATGAAAACTGAACTGAATTTTAATAAGACTAATCAATAATATTTCTTCTTTAATAGTCGAAAGAAGAAGAAGGTATAATATTAATTACCGAATCAAGGAGCTCGGCACTCTTATTCCGAAGTCTAATGATCCGTGAGTTCAAAATCATTTCTGTAATAATGTTATGGTTTCAGTATCTCCAAAAATGGGTGGGAGGGAAGGAGGGAGGACAGAACCAATGACTAGGAAACTAAGTAGCTCATGACAAGATAAGGCTATCGCTGGTCTCGTTTAAAATATCTGTTCCAGGGTGATATGAAGCATTAAGGCTATTCCTAGAGTTGGCCTCAAGAGCCCAGAAAATAAGTAAATGAAAAAAAAAAGAATATTAGTAAATGATATCTCTTCAGTTCATAGTGGGTTTATTTTATAGTGATGACATAGGCAAATTTAGTGATAGTGCCAAAAGCTATTTACAATGTTCCATGATGCTCAAATTGAGATTATGAAATTTTTTGCAATTTAAAATTATATTAACATGAAAACAGAGCTGTTGGATTTTCAGAGGTCCCCAAATTCTGGAGAATTGTGTACATGTAATAAACGGGATCGTAAACTGATGCCAACCAGGTTTTTGTGGCAAATACAAACACACTGAGGTTGTAAATCTCAGGAACTAGTTAATTTTAAAATTTAATTAATCTTATCATTTTATTTAATTAATCTTATTGTTACATTTTAGGTATACAATATAATGACATTCATCATTGGAAATTTGTACCTTTACATAATTCATCTTGGTTCTTATTTTTTTCCCCACTCCCCTGCCCTCCCTTCAACCCCTCCATTCCTCCCTATTTACAAAGACTTTGTTTGTTTCCAGTTTTTCATTTTCTGATATTAATTCCATTCCCTTCTGTCCTTTTCCCTACCCCTCCCATTTCCCCTTCCCCTTTGCCCCTTTTCTTCCTATTTCACATTATCTATTATATCTCTTAGTCCTTATTTACACTTTCAGTTTCTCACACTAGAGAAACTATTTGGTATTTACTTAAGAGTATCACCTCAATGCACATCCATTTAGCAATAAATCTCTCTAATTTTGCATTCTTTATGGCTGAGTAATGCTCCATTTTATTCAAAACAAAAACAAAAACAATAACAAAATTTCTTTATCCAGTCTCCCATCGATGGGCAATTGGGCTGCTTCCAAGTTTTAGCTATTTACAAACTGTGCTGCTATAAACATGGGTGCACATATATCGCTGTGGTATGATTCTTTTAATTCTTTGGGGAAGATACCCAACAGGAGGGTCAAATGGAACTTCCAATGCTAAGAACTAGTTAATTAATCAAAGTATCTATTTGAATATTGAATGCTTATACTAAAATATAAAAACATGGTCTTTGGCCTTACTCAGGATTTGAAAATGATCTCTCCAAATACTGGCAACTAGTCATTATTAATAAATGATAAATTCTGATGAAAAGATATTAGTGAGAGTTGAGTACTTACTTGGACAACTAAATAATGTGCGGTATGGAAACAAATGTAGCATCTGCAAAATGTTAGCAGAGTGCAGAATGGAGAATCTGAAGAGCTCAGTCCTGGTTTCAGATCTTTCAATATTGTTCAGATCTTTTAAAGTATCTAAGCATAGCACTTTATTGGCTGAACATAATACAAATCTTCCCTTTAAAATGGAGTTTCAGAAATATAAAATAAAAATATATAAGGTATGTGAAAATACAAATTATAAGGACTGCATGAGGGATTATATTACTGTATATTTTTATAAAAGCTTTGATTGCCTAAATATACCTTTCCAGTTTAAGTCATTTTCCAGTACAGGCAATGACGAAGTTTTCCTGTGAAGAGCTGGAGTGCCACTCTTCTAAGCTTCATGACCCACGTAGTCTTTGTCACATTTATTTACCTGCTCTTCTACCCAAAAGCAGACACAGACAATATGTGGTGAAGGAGAATGACTGTATCCAGTGAAACTTTATTGACAAAAATAGGCTGTGGGCCACTGTTTGCCTACACCTGGTCCAGAATATGGAAAATCAATTTACCACCGAACCATGGCTGAGAAGCACAATCAGAGAAACTTCACTGTATGCATTCTTGTTTTCCCTTCCTTATGGATCTCAGAAAGGAGAGCTATTATTTATTTGAACTCTATTGTGTTATATATAGGCAAATTACATTTATTCATGTCTACTTGGGAGAGAAAGTTACTGAAATGTGGCCTTCCTAATGTCTGAATACTAATTATGTTTCGATATATTTCATTTCTTGGCATGCTGTGGTCTCACCTGCTGCTCCACTGTCTCTCAGGGTTCAGCATTGATAATTCTATGGTTGACCCCAGAATTAGCATCTTAAAATCGAGTTTACCTAAAGAGAAAAGTCTAGATGTATCGACTAAAATATAAATGTCTACTGTATAATATTATTTTGCATTCATTTGTCAAATTTTTAGACACTACCATGGATAGTCTAAAAGTTTCAGAAAAAAAGTACTAGAAAAAGCGGGGTGCGGGCAATACAGTGAGGGCTAGTTTCAGTTTGAAGGTGGGAAAATGAAGAAATGGCATCATTATGTCATGCAATGATGAAACTAATGAGAAGTGGATTTGAAAATTTAAAAAGATCAAACAAGATTTCAGTTGGATTTTTAAGAAATTTTAGAATAATTCGTTGAGTGGCTTTTATAACCATTAAAATGACCAAGAACAGTTTTTTAAAAATAATTTAAAAAATAAAGGTCAGCTTATGAAATCTACTATGAATTTTTTCAAATTATGTGCTGTAACTATTAATGAATCATGAAACCAAGCAAATGGAACAGATTCAGCCTTCATAAACAACAATAGATAGAGCTGAAAATATCAGAGTATAACATATTACACTCAAGAGAATATTAATAACTGGTGAAAACTGTTGCAGTCCTAGGGGATAAGAAGGCACACAATTATAGTATATAGCATGCTTCTTATGACAGATGCATTTCAACAGGGAAGAAAGACACAGGTTTGCAGAAAGAGTACTGAATTGAGTGAGACAACCCTGAGCTTATCCTCTAAACACCATATGCTCTAGGGCAAATGGTAGGAACCGTAGAGGGTTCAACTCTTTCCAGTTCATGACTGAACAGACTTTGGGGTAAGAAATCAAAGCTAATAGCTGAAAACACTGAATTCAATGAAGTTGACATTTTCATGTTTCAAAAACATTCAGAAATCTATACTTTGCAGGTCAGTGTAAGGGAGTTAGAAGGGAAAATAAAGAGAAAAGTTAGGTTAAGTGAGTTATAAATTAGATATTATTTTCTGCATTTTTATTTTTATAAATAATGTGTTTGAATGGATGTATATGCTTAAGATGTCTATAAATTATGCATTTTCCGTGGTTTTGCTGGTTGTACTCCTGAGTTTACACATTGCTTTTACCTATTTTGGCCATAAATTTACTTAAGCTTTTAACTGCCTTTCCTTCAGAGAAAATTATTTTACAGAAAGGGCCAGTATCCATATTCTTTATTAGCTATGCTTTTGTGAGTGTTCATTATTTATAGAGTAGCATCATATTATTTCTTAATATGTTAATGCTAAGTTCCTTGAAATCATCTTGGGAGAGAGACAAAATCTGATTAATATGAGCAAAACCTAAAATATTTCAAGATATATTTCAAATATATTTGGATGGTTTTGAAATAGAGTGAGCTTTTGAAAACTTAGTGTAAATGACATCAGGAAGGAAGGAAGATACTATGTGATCACTATAACTATGGAGGTCTATTTTAGATCTAAATAAACAATACTCTAAACTTCAAAGTTGGTTGGGTTGTCTCTTTTATCTTATTCCTTCTACTTCAAGTTTTTCTTCCAAGGAGAGGGAATGAAACAAAGATACCATAAGGCTCCTGCTGCTGCTTAATCTTTTTTCATAAGGCCACTACATTTTTGTTATAGATACTTTCTTGGCTCAGTGACAAAAGTAGCATGTCTTTTCATAGCCATCGCAACATAAGATAAGTCACTGTGTACAGAATGACCCCAAGAGTCGCTATGGTCCTAGCAAATGGATAAAGCGTTTTCACATATGAAATACCAGCAATGGTTTTGTGCATTTTAGTAGAACATGTCTTTCCCAGACCTTAATAAGCATTTCTCCTGGGTGGTAGAAAAATGAACATTCTTTTAATTTGGTACTGTTAGTGACCTTGTCAGGTAACCTGAACTTCAAATGAGATATTCAAATCAAATATTTCATAAGCTGTGTTTTCCTACTTGCAACTTTTACTAAATGTGTATGAAGTTCAATGTATTCCCTACAGATCACAGAACAAGAAGATATAAAACGTACTTTACATAGATCATGTAAGCTAAAATTATAAGTTGGAAAATACATAATTCCCCTACGTGTTTACTCTATGCTGTATTCAATACAGTTCGACTGTAATTTGAAATTTCAATAAGATTATTTAGCCATTCTCATTAATATTTCATTATTAGTGTGGCCTTATTTTCAACAAAGATTGTCAGTTCTCATACAGCATTACATTCTTTTATGTATATTTTCAGATATTATAGCCAGTAGCTTGTTCCATAATTCTATCTCTATAATTTCTTCTGTCTTAAGTGTGTAGTAAAATATTTTTCTATGGTATAGCCTAAAAGTTTACCTAGTTATGTTTTAGTTTTAGTTAACCTTAAGTTAAACTTATTTACAAATAGGTATCCATATCAAGCTTCTTAAAAAGTATTGATGCCATTTGTGTGGAAGAATTGTTCAAATGGTTTTAGAAATTTGCTTTGCTGTATAAAGCGATGCTACCAAACTCTGCTCACTCAGGATCAGCCTTCAGGAGAGAATTTTTTTTCTTAGAAACAAAAGCAACTTTATTAGGAAGTAGGTTAAAGGATTGGTACATTCGAAATAATCTTTAAAAATTTAGTCTTAAGTCGTCAGTAATGTACATTTCCTAGTTCATTAATGCAGAAATACGGCACATAGATTTTAATCTTGGAGTTAATAATAAAAGCAATTTTCACTAAAAATATAAAAACTGTAATGGTAGAATCATGATATTGCATTTAGCTCTCCCACAAAAAGTCACTTTATTACTTTCTTTTGACACTTATTTTCATTCTGGGATTAATTTTACTATATAAGGGCTTCTTAACTATTCTATTAAAATTTCTATTCAGAAGCAATAATATCTAAGAGTGAATAATAGTCATGTAAATCATTATTTTATATTAATGTAAAAGATTTTGTAAGTTCTTATGAATTCTGCTGACATGCACAATTGTGAAAAGGTTATCTCTCTGTTCTACAGTGATACACGCTGGAACAAAGGAACCATTCTGAAAGCATCCGTGGAGTATATCAAGTGGCTACAAAAAGAACAACAGAGAGCCCGAGAGTTAGAACACAGGCAGAAGACGTTAGAGCAGGCTAACAGGCGACTTCTACTTCGGATTCAGGTTTTTATAAGAATGTTGCCATGGACTGGGTAGCTAACATATGCCTTACTTGACATTAGTTTTATTCATTGGTACAATATGTGTCCTTACTAATGATTATTTTTTCTACTGAAAAATAATTTTATTGCCTTTTAAAAGTTCACTAATTGGGTTGTTTCAATTAGGTTTTGATTAGAAATTCAGGATCAGGATGGCTTAAAATATAATGAATAACAACAGCTAGTTACAAAGTGCAGAAAATAGAGCTCCTTTCATAAATACACGTGATACTCTCCCCCCAGAAAACACTATTAAGTAGAATATTTGTTCCTCTAGATAATATTGGACACTAAATTCTCCATTCTCTCTTCTTGCTTTTATTTGTTTAATAATAATACTATGGATTTCACTGCTGAAGACATATTGTACCAGTTTAAGCAACTTCTCATCTGTGCTAGTAACACAAACTATCAAAGTATGGGCTTTTATTACTCTCTTTTTTTAATGTGGGCATACTCATAGCCAGGTAAAGCTTTTGCTCTATTTCCATGAAATAGTCCAGAATTATGGTGAGAAATTATCGGGAAAAATAAATGGAAGATTTCCCACTATATAAGAATGGCTTTATTATAGTCTGAGCCATTCCAGGACCTTAATATGTCATGAGTCCCTTTACAGAACAAGAAGAGGAGAATTTTTAAATCTCTGGGTAATTTTCTTTGAGGTACTTTTCAGGCATCAGAAATGAATCAGATTCCATTATCTGCAAAGAATACTTATAATTTTTACTACTCTCCACTTTGAATACTGTTGATAGTTTGCTTCTACTCTGGTTTATTTTCTCAAGTTATGTCTACTTTCAAAGGCATTTTTTTTAATGCTTCTCATTTGAAATTGCAGGAACTAGAAATACAGGCTCGTGCCCATGGTCTGCCAACCCTGGCTTCCCTTGGCACAGTCGATTTAGGTGCTCACCTCACCAAACAGCAGACTCCTGAGCAGAGTTCAGTAGACTATTGCCAACAACTGACTCCATCTCAGGGGCCAAGCCCCAAGCTCACTGATCAAGCTATGGCCTTCTCTGATCCTTTGTCACACTTCACAGATTTATCATTTAGTGCTGCTTTGAAAGAGGAGCAAAGATTGGATGGCATGCTGCTGAATGACACAGTGTCCCCGTTTGGAACAGATCCACTGCTCTCTGCTGCTTCCCCTGCAGTTTCTAAATCCAGCAGTAGAAGAAGCAGCTTTAGCTCAGAGGATGGTGAGGAATTATAAGACCCAAACAGGCTCAGTTCATCAACTAGGAAGTAATGCTATGCCGGTACTATTCAACTATGTTCCGAGTTTGTTTCATATATGCTTTGGATTAGTTTTCTTTCCAAGAATATATTGTCCACAAAAACCTCATTAGAAGCAACAGAAGAATGCACAGGAAGAAAAAGAAAATGGTATTGAATTATTGAGGACTATATTTGATATTTTCCTTTTTTCAGTGGAGTCCATGTGTACTTATATTTTGTTTTCTGGAAAGAGGTACAGCATATGAAATATCTCTGCATTCATGTTCTAATGAAGCAACATGATAACTCACTATTGGAACGGCCTGTAAGAGTAAATTGAATGAAAGATACAATGCTTCTCTTAGGCATTCACATCTGTACTCTGCTGTTTACCTCCTACTACAAGTTTTTTAAAAATCAAAACCAACAGATGTGATGGTCATTGTCTTTTCCCACTGTCTGCAAGACATATCTAAAGTTCAAGTCGTAGAGAAGAAATAATTAGAAAATAGATTATCTCTCACTTGTAACTGAAATGTAAATCTATCAAAAATATAGGATTGTTTTACAATATAACACAGAAAATTTATAAAAACATTGGATACTAAAATTAGATTGTAATTTCTTTAGTCAGATTAGTTGCACTGATTCTAAAAGCATCCTTGTATATTTATCTTCACATATTCTATTCAGAATAATGAGCAAGAACAATTTCTTGAGGAACATGGTCTACATTTTATCATTTCCACAAATTATACCCGCACATAAATATACAGTGTGGGCAGTATTATATTGCTATTTTTCATTGTTTTAATTACCTAATCAGTATCAGAAATCACATTCTATTGGGTAATCATTTTTAGTAAATAAAATATAAAAATGTCCTCCCACTAGGAAAATTTTCCAGGTATCTCATATTTATCATCATGTCAAATATTGGATACAGATTATTTGTTGATATAGTTTTGTTCCAAATTGATAAAATATTGAAAATTGAATTGTTGATTGACAAACATAATTAAACTGAAACTGTATCTTATTCAGCTCTGAGTGGAGGATAAAGTTCTATTTCTTGAGTTTTTAGAATACCCAATAACCTCAGTTTTCCTAGTTGCCGTTTATTCCAAATACTTATATCTATAATACTTAAACATTTTGAGATTGTTTAGGTTTGGGAATTGGGTTACCAAACACATTGCTGGACCTCCATAAATGATCTTTAATCAATCAGTACTTATGAAGGGATCCTGAGAACTGCAGTGGGGTTTGAAAACATTGAACAGATGAAAAAGATATGATTTTACTTTTTGGCATCGGTATGCTTAACAGGACTACAAGAAGTCGTTTTTTCTACAAAAAAAAAGTGTAGATAACAGAATTACAGTGTAAGCACAAGCCGTAAAGTGGAGAAGTTCATAGAAAATGAAAATGAATGGCAAAGTCTAGGAAAGCAGCAGAATTCAATCTTGTCTTTTAAAGGCATAAACTGAATGAAGGGGAAGAAATGTAGAGGAATAATACCAACCAAATGGTAGAAATGATGATAAGCTAGGGAGTTATCTTTATGAGACATTCATGAGAAAGATTCGGTCATCCAGCGCATGACACCTGTTGAGGAGTTGTGGAGAATGAAATTGACAACTGGTTTTGGAGATCTTTGAAATTTAGGGTGAAATGTATAAGTGAAAAAAATTTTACTAGATTTTCAAAAATTAAAATGTGTTACTAACTTGACTGAGATGTAACCTCTCAAAAATATTAAACTTTAGGATATAGAAAATTTGTTGTCACAAAATTGGAGATTTGAATGCTGATACAAGTGGAGAAATGCTGAACTCTGGGGGAGAATGATTATCTCATACTTAGTTACATGGTTTGCTCAGATTTTGGAAAATTAAAATTGTTAGTTTGACACGGAAAGGGAGCTAACAGTTATTGTAAGTAGATAGATTCATTCATATGAAATGTTCGTATTAAAAATACACTTTCTTAATAATTTTGAAGCGAACATTATAGACTTTTAACAGTATGATAAAATTCCATATTATTACCTAGGTTGATAATTTGATTCAACTTTACAAATTATGAGAAAAAATATGTTTTGGGGTTCCATAGAAAATGCACTCTTCTAGATTGGTGTTTTCTACTTTCATTTTGTCTGTTAGTCTTCTTTCTCTGTATGTCAGGAAGATTTTCACTCTTGATGCCCTTACTCTGGCATGATTTTAAATTCTATTCGTGGCTGACATACAGACCTGGCACAGGATAGTAGAGCTTGGAGACAATAAATTTGGAAAATGGACTATATTTGCTGCTTCTTTCAGTTTATAAAATGTCATGGAATTGTAAAATTGGTAGTGGATTTTAAAAGACAGAATGTTTTTGTGTTTCAGTCAACAGAAATATGTTACAAATCAATTAGATAGCAGTTTTAACATGTCATGGCCTGGATCCCTTGAGAATCTGGTGAAAACTGTAGTCTCTCCCTAACAAAAATGTAGAAGTGTATTTGTGGGCAATAGTTTGCATGCACCTAAAGGCTGTAGGCACCTCCCGAATGACTGACTCTTTGGGTTCCAGGTTAAAAAAAAAATTCCTGCATCAAGTCTGAAACTTTCATAAGGAACAATTAATTATTTATCTATCAAAAGATGGGTGTGCATTTAATGTCATATAATATGAGAAAAGAGGGAGCCTTATTTATCTAAATGCCATTTATCTGATCCTAATCATGTTGAGACTGGATGGAAAAGTAAAAAGCATATCAAATACTAGGTTATTATATTTTTACTCCACCTGTACCCTCTATGCACATGTAAATTATTTACCAAAACATTGTTCACTGATAAAGGGATCCACCTTTGAACATCCATTCCTCAATCAACAAATCATGCCTACTGTATGTTATATATTTATGAGTTACTTCTCTCTGCTTGCTAAATGTTGTATAACACTTTGAAATCATGCAAATACATTGCAAAGTAAAAATAATGTAAATTCAAAAGCAAATTATTTGAGTAACAATCAAGAGAGACCCTTAGGAAAACTGATGAATATATGGAGTACTTTTGCAGAAATGAGACGTAACAGTAAGAGAATAAAATAGTATATCAAACCATTTTGTTACAAAAACACCAATTATCATGGGACTATAATACAATTAATGAAGTTCTGTTCAAAGTATTAATGCATAATTGTAATTATAAAATTATTTTATTAAAATAATAAAATTAAATAAAGTTATTATCTTAGCCACTTTTTCAAGATAATGTCCCATCTAATGTTTTTCTCTGTGATAAAACGTTGATTACCTTTTTGTGGATTTGCATTAATCAGCCTTTTCCAACTCCCAGTTATCTGAAAATAATGAAGACCTCCTGTGAATAGATGTAGCTCTTTATATTTTTCTTTTAATGTCTTTTCTTCTCAAACTTTTCCTTTTTCATTTGGAGAACATATGTACAGATCATATTTTCTCACTTTATTGTCATGTCAGTGACCATCCCTTCGTACAGTTTTTCCAAAAGCTATGAATAATAGCCAGATGATCTAGTGACTTTGAAAACTAGCCTTTCTCATCCTTTTTAACTTACTGTTTTTCACTCACATGACAATAGGCAAAATAATTCATAGTTCTTACTTTACAAGTAGGTACAGAAAATTTCTTGGCTTTGTGTAATTTACTATAGTGTCAGGAGAATTTAGATCTCACAAATTTAAAAAGGATATATTTTTCTTTGGTTTTGTTAGACTGGCATTAGAATTTTCTTACACTTTAAGGTATCATAAAAATACTTTTTATTGACCTGAAACTGTGGGACTTAAATAATTATAATGGTCCACTATTTTTTAACATAATTTTATAGCAGAGTGAATATAATTAACAATAATGTATTATATATATATATATATATATCATAGAAAAGAAGACTATGAATGAACTCACTAAAATTTTCTATAATGTCTCTAGGGTGATATTTACTGGGCTTATATGTAAGATGTTCGTTGAAACTAGAATCAGTTAACCATTTTGCTGAGCTATCAGCACTAGGACAACCATTTGGGCAGCTTGAAAACACCTGAAGCACTGAATTTTGTTTCATTATTGATAATGGCACAGCTATATGTGCTGTGTGGACGTACATCATTCACCCCTCCAGTGCCTTGCATGCTGACAAATTTAAGATGTCCATTTGAGTTAGTGTACATTTAGATAGATAATTCAATTACATGTATTTAATAAATACTAAACACATTTGCAAGGCTTATGACCTAATGTATCATGACCCTCTTGTCATCATTATTCATCGATATACAAGTATTTTATCATTTGTATGATTTTTAATTTTAAAATGAAGAAGCTATTCAAACATTGAGAAAAATCGCCTTCAAACGTTGTGTGCCACATTTTTCCCTGCACATGTTATAGAAAATTTGAGTATGTCCTAAATTACCAGAAAACAGTTATTTTGATTTTTTAAAATCTTTCCCAGGATTCTATCAATTTCAGGATGAAATTATGCTATCTTTTGACTTATATATAAAAGGGAAAATTTTTTATCTCCTTGTAAGAGATTTTTATGTGTATTTCTATATAATTATATGATTTTTATTGTTTTCTACTGAGGAAATCCTCTTTGAAATGTCTTCTTTCTACATTATATAATGGGCTTAAAGAACACAATTGAATATTTTTAAGTTTGCAAGACTACCTCTCCCATTCCTGCACTATCATTTTTATTGCCAAAATTTTGTATTTTCCACAGAAATTAATTTTATGTGTTACTTAATGCCTGTTTTATATATAATAAATAAAATGTGCAAAAGAAAGGAGAGCCTATTATTTTACTGAAATAATTGCACAATCAGTAAGATACATTTTATAATATTCTTTATAATTACTAAAGTTTAAAGACAACCTAAATTCAAGAATCTTATCTAGCAGCATAGCAGTTGCTTCTGGCATGCCAAACTAAAATCAATTTCAGCTATTTAATCTTAATTATAACAATATAGTTAAAAAACTTTGACCTTAACAGCATTATGTATATATGAATTTTTGAAATAACATTCCTATAATTTTAATCTAACTAACATTGGTTAGAGGAAGAAAACATTGTTAATGTAATAAGACTGTACAATTTGTAATTATTGGTATTTTTCATTTAATAACAAAGTAATGTGTCTTATTTTTCTAAGAAAATGAAGAATATTGATGTATTTTAATACAGACATGCATCTGCACAAGTACTTTTAACATGCATAATATTTTATTTGCATGTATTACAGAAACACTGTAGTTTTTCAGTGTTTTAATATATTAATTTGCCTTTGTATATAGACTGCACTAAAAAGTACAATGTGGGTTTATCATCTGAAGGGATACTTAACAGACATGAGGCTTAATAAGTGACAGCTATTCACTACATAACCCACACTGAAAATGATGATCCAATATCTCCCCATTATTGAAAGTAATTGTTACATTCTTTAATATGGTCTCCTGCCATCTGCTTCTCCATGCTGTTTTGGCTTTGATTTATGGAAAATATTTATCAGAATGTTGAAAAATTGCTAACAGGCATAATAGTAGCAGTGAGATCACTAAGAAACTCTGCAACATCTTTTAATATACTTACACATTCCCCAGACATTCTAGGATAAATAGAATACTGTATTCTAATATGTAAAAACCTTTTAAAGCTGCTAATTGGTATTGACTAGGCTTATCCCTTGATAATGAAATTAATAAGAATTTCAGCTGTGTTAAGACTTTCTAATATTTAATATGCTTATGGATATTTTTTCTACATACCTGCTTCAAACGTAATAAAGCAAAATGCTCTGAGGTAACTATAAAGAATAGTATTCTATGTTTAAATG